GGCGCCGGGAGCCGGGGCAGCGCCATGAGCGAGCTGTACGATGTGGTGGTTGTTGGGGGCGGCATCTCAGGTCAGTGCAGCCCGGGGCCGTGCCACGGCGGAGGGCGCTGTCTTTGTAACTCCCCTGCAGAGACTGGGACTGTCCTTTGCGCCCCCGCCTGTGTGTTCCGCGGGGGGAACGGGCTGGGACTCTCCTCTCGCCCCCCCCCCACCCCCTCCGCCATGGCAGCCTTGCTCAGCACCCGGGCAAGCCCGCGGCGAACACCTCGGGCCCGAGGCGCTGCCAGCGGGGAAGCGCAGGGACAGCCGCTCGGAGTGCTGGGTGCAGAGGGAATGTGGGGTCTGTCCCCCCCAAAGCAATCGTGGGGGCGGGGCGCAGCCTTGCCCCAGCGCGGTGCGGTAGCGAGGAAACTGTTGCTGCCTGTCTCACGCTCTCTCACTTTGGCTAGACGGTCCGCGGTTGCAGTGTCCAGAGTTGTGTTTTCCACAGACTGGACTGTATTGATACTGATCTGCAGCAGAGGGGTCTGTTCTTGCAATAAGCAACCCTGGTTAGGCTTCCCTTTACTTAACTGATCTGACCGTGAGTGCAGGCTAAAGGACCGCTGACCGATTTTAAATACGTTATCTCAGATAAGAGTTTGCCTGAGCAGGATACTTTCTAGGTTTTCTCTCCCCTTATGGTTGTTCAGTTTCAACCATACCCCTCTCAGCAGCAATAATCCTCTTGTCCCCTTTCTTCAGAAGCTGAACAGTCTCCATTGGCACTATCACACTGCTCTTTGGAAGATTGCCACAGTACATGCGGAAATCTTTGTTAATGAGTTGAGGAAAGAGGTCATTTTCAGTGCAGCAACTCAGTAAACCAATTATCAAGAGTCCCAACAGGCTGACTACAGCCATCAGTTGATTTTAGGTGGGGAACCTTGCTCATAGGAGTGTAAAGTTACAACAGTACTGTATCAATATTAATACATAATGTATCACTCTAGTTAGGAACACTATAATGAAATGTCTGTAAACCTCACTGTTCAATTACTTGTGTGGGGAAAAAAACCCACCAGTGGGCCTGGAGATAAAAGTTTTGCCTTAGTTTTCTTGTTTTAAAACAGACTAATGTGTCTCATATCGGACAAGTTATAAGAGAGAGAGAAGATGCCCTTATTGAAATTTCAGATGTTTCTGAGTGCATATCTTACTCTTGCATTTTGTTACTGCTGTCTTGTCAGGAAGAAAACGGTATATGTGTACCAGATGGCTCTTGTTTAATGTTATTGTTTTGTTATGTGTAAGTCAAGGTTAGGGTGGGGTTTAACTCAATCTGGTATTAATTGTGACACAAACATAATTTTAAAATGTGTTTGTAAGCCATCATTCTCTGTGGTTGTGGCCAGATGTAGTTTATATTTTCGTGGTTAACATAGATCTTTCCAAATTACAGTGTGACCATAAAAACAGGAGATTTTCTTTGGGAAAAGATGTCCTTGCTAAAAGTCTGGATCCCTTGAAAATTCTGGACTTTATTGCATCTACTGTCTCCTGCAGTATTCTGATCACATACTTTTACACGATAAAGCAAAATTTTACTTGTACCTATGCATGATTTCCATTTACTTATTAAGAATGGCACAGAAATACCTGAGATCAGAATTAAACACTATTTTAGAGTATTTGGTTTGTTTTGTGTAGATCTTTAAAGCCTGTCTAATATGCCTAATGCAGTAGCTTGAGTTTTCAGGTATTATCTGTTGTGAATGTATTTGAGAATTCTGGAAATTATGTGAAGGGGTGACAGCAATATTAGCACAAATACAATAACAATTTCAATCAGAATTGAGAAACATTCATGAAAGTTAAACTTCTGTTTGTAGTAAAATAATCCATTTTGCTTCAAGTACCCCAAATATGATGTTATGTTGTCCACACGTACTGGAATATTCATTTGTTGTTATATGAAATGACATACATTGTGCTCCAATAGGAAAAAAGTGCAAATTGCATATCTTATTTCTAAACTATTTTGAAATGTGGTGTGTCTACAACAGCGCCAAATTTCAAAATAACACGCTATTTTGAGCCATCTCTTATTCCTTGTGCAATTAAGTTTATCAGGGTGGTGAAATAGTGCCCCCATTATTTTGAAAAATATTTTGAAATAACCGGCAGCTTGTGTAGACACGGGGTAACTATTTCAGGATACCTCTGGTATCCTGAAATAACCGTACAGTGTAGGTGTACCCTTAAAAAATACTAAACAATGCATGGATCACCCTTTAGGTTATTTTTTTTTAAATGCCTGATTGTTTTTCTGGTATCGTGGACTATTCAAGCATAATTCTCAAGGTTTAGCTCATCTCCAGAATCCTTTGATGAAATTGAAAACTTTATTATGTACATTTGAAAGTCTGACATTCTTAATAAAGTTCTAAGTGCTAGTTCCCTTTAGGAAATAGATCTCAACCTGTACAATGTTGCCCTGGTTTTCCCATTTATAAAGAAGTTTTGAAATGTGTGGTTAATTATTCCTTGTATTTTTATCTACCACAAACATCTATACATTATTTCAGGATGCTTATTTAGAGGATTAAAGCCTATCAGAGAGACTGGAATAAAGCCAGCGAAGAAACATCAAACAGAAACTTTCTCTGAAAATATTTCAGTGAAATGAGGGGGAAAAAAAAGATGAATAACACTATGCGCTCTCTGGAAACAAGAATTTTTTCCTTCACAATAAAAACTGTTATTCTAGGCAGTGCCAATTGGTGTTTACTTTTTCATTGACTTTCTTATTATTTTCATTTTGAACTGACATCAGAATAAGCAAGTGTTAGAAAAGCTAACGGTCCCGTTCATCGAAAATGTACATTAATTGCAAGATTATTCATAGCTACATTCCAACTTTTTACATGACATCCCTACCCTCACCTCCTGTCTGTCTTTGTTGGGAAGATGAGTAGGGGTGAAGTTTCCTTGTCATTTGTTTATTCTCCTATTCAATTTATTTATAAATGATCTAGAGAAAGGGGTAAACAGTGAGGTGGCAAAATTTGCAGATGATACCAAACTGCTCAAAATGGCTCAAAAGACCAAAGCAGACTGAAGAGCTTAAAAAAGATCTCACCAAACTAAGTGATTGGGCAACAAAATGGCAAATTAAATTTAATGTTGGTAAATGTAAAGTAATGCACATGGAAAAACACACACACAGTTGGAATTGTGTGTGTGTGTGTGTGTGTGTGTGTGTGTGTGTGTGTGTGTATATACATATATACACACACACACACAATATGATAGGGACTAATTTGGCTACATCTATTCAAGAGAAAGATCTTGGAGTCATTGTGGATAGTTCTCTGAAAACATCCACTCAGTGTGCAGTGGCAGTTAAAAAAGCAAATAGAATGTTAGGAGTCATTAAAGAAAGGGATAGAGAAAAAGGCAGAAAATATCTTATTGCCTCGATATAAAACCATGGTACATCCACATCTTGAATACTGCGTACAGATGTGGTCACCTCATCTAAAAAAAGATACGTTGGCAGTGGAAAAGGTTCAGAAAAGGGCAACAAAAATGATTGGGGGATTGGAACGAGTCCCATGGCAAGAGAGATTAAAAAGACATGGACTTTTCATCTTAGAAAAGAGAAGACTAAGGGGGGAGGGGGGGGTATATGGTAGAGGTCTATAAAATCATGACTGGTATGGAAAAAAGTGAGTAAGGAAATGTTATTACTTATTCCCACAATAAGAGAACTAGGGGTCACCAAATGAAACTAATAGGCAGCAGGTTTAAAACAAACAAAAGGAAGTTTTTCTTCCCTCAGTGCACAGTCAACCTGTGGAACTCCTTGCCAGAGGATGCAGTGAAGGCTAGAACTTTTACAGGGTTCCAAAAAGAGCTCGATAGATTCATGAAGGTTAGGTCCATCAATGGCTATTAGCTAGGATGTGTAGGAATGGTATCCCTAGCCTCTGTTTCTCTGGAGGTGGGTGACAGGGGAGGGATCACGTGAGGATTACCTGTTGTGATCCCTCCCTCTGGGGCATCTGGTATTGGCCATTGTCAATAGACTGGATACTGTTCTAGACGGACCTTTGGTCTGATGCAGTGTGGCCAATCTTATGTTCTTAAGTTTATTTAACTTCAAGCTTCCGTCAAGATGTCAGCTCATGTTCATAACTTTACATATAATGCTTTTGTATACATTTCACCATGATACTAGTGATCAGCAAGTTATTGGTTTTCAAGTGATACCTCACTTTGTATCTGGTTGGTCACAAGGTGACAGTCTTTATATTCTTAATAGTCTTTTGAAGCAAAGATAATACAGTGCTTGTTTGCATGTCAAACAGATAAGCATCCCTGATAGCCTCGTTGCCATAACCATGCATAAGATTGTGACCCACTTGTTGAGAATTAATACTAAGTGGCTGTCCCACATTGGCGACAGAGGCATGTAGTCTAGACGTACCCTGAGGCATGTAGATTAGGCTACCAGGCATAGGAAAATGAAGCAGCGATTTAAATAATCGCCGCTTCATTTAAATTTACATGGCTGCCGCGCTGAGCCGATCAGCTGTTTGTCGGCTCAGCGCGGTAGTCTGTACGCGCGGGGGTCGACATCAAAGGCATTTGTCGACCACCCAGGTAAACCTAACCCCAAGAGGCATACCTGAGTGGTCGACAAATGCCTTTGATGTCGACCCCCGCGCGTACAGACTACCGCGCTGAGCCGACAAACAGCTGATCGGCTCAGCGCGGCAGCCATGTAAATTTAAACGAAGTGGCGATTATTTAAATCGCCGCTTCATTTTCCTATGCCTGGTAGCCTAATCTACATGCCTCTGGCGACAGAGGTATGTAGTCTAGACGTACCCATAGATTTAATCTTGCCTCCTATTTTAAAAGGATCTTTAAACTTATGAATGGTTAGAGGGCACCTTTGTTAGCCTACCTAGCTCAGACAAAAGAGAATTTGCATAGTTATGGTCCTTTTCTTCTAAGGGTCTATGCTTTCCCTGTCTTAAAGGCTAGATTATAAATTAGTTTCTCTCTTGATAATGATTTAAA